ACCATGAGGGGCGGGTGGCTTCGAGCTGCCACTAGGGCTGGATATGCGAACTTGTGAGCCTCCACCACGTGCGTCTGTTCATCGTTGTGCGCCATTTCGTCACCTATAATTCCATCGTCTTGCCATACCAATCGGCGAACGAATTCGTGCTCGTGTTTGACGAATCGCGGCCGTTGGTCTGCGCATTGCCCGTACCTAAGTTCCGGTGTTAAGAGACATTCATAATGAAATAAGAAACTTCACAGACCACCCTTCTTCCGCCTCTCTTCTGCCCTTGCTTTCCTCGCCGATTGTACCAGTGGCGCTAATGTGCCTAGCGGTTCAGCGGTCTGGATGAAGGGGTGCTGCAACTTGTTAGCGACTATCGACGACAAGCAATTACAATGTACTTACCACCAGAAGATCGTGAGCACTAGCTCGCTTGTCGGGGTCGACCTTGAGCGAGAAGCCCAAGAAGTCACGGAACACTGGCGACAAGGCATGTTCCTCCTTGATCGTCGGTGTGCCGTTGGTCGCAATGAGCCACAGTGCACGTAGTGGACTTTCATTCAGGTACGGCGGCTCTCCCTCGATCATCTCGATGGACATGATACCCAACGACCAGATGTCAACCTTTCGGCCGTACTCCTTGCGAGTGACAACCTCGGGAGCCATCCAGTAGGGGGTACCTACCATGGTCGTGCGCTTGTTGTGGCTTTCGTTGATTTGCGCGCAGAAACCGAAGTCGGCTGTGAAGTGTATTAGACTTGATAGGAGGTGGCGGGTTCGAATTCAACATACTGAGCTTGATGTTGCCTTCTTGGGAAAGCAGGATATTGTCCGACTTGATGTCTCGATGAATGACGCCCTTGGAGTGAAGATGTTGCAAGCCGTGGAGGGTCTGGGAAATTAGCGGGGTTCTCCGAGCGGGAACTAAAGACTCACCTCTCTGCACACAGCAGCTATTTGGCCTTCGGACATGATGTTGAAAGTAACGACATCCGTCAAACTTCCACCCTCCATGTACTCCATAACCACCCACAGATCGCCTCTGAGCAGGAAACTGTCCATGAAATTTACAATATTCTTGTGCTTGCTGTCTTTCATGACCAAAATCTCGTTGATAATCAGGTCTTTCTTGGGCTGCTGCTCGAGGTTCATCTGCTTGATGGCTACACACTTGTTGGTGCTGTTTTCGTAGGCCATGAAGACACCACCAGAAGCACCCTGACCGATCTTGCTGAGGTTGCGGTATCTCTCCCGGGGATCGGCATTGGTACAGATGGCATTGAGCTTGGCCACGATATCCGGTCCCTGACTCTGCCTCGGCCTTTGACGTGGCCGGGGCGCTGGACCAACACGAGCCTGTTGCGATGGTAATGGAATGTTTTGGGGATCCGATTGCTGGGCAAAGACCTGCTGGGGCGTCGGCTGGGACATCTGCATCTGCGGCTGCGGCTGCGGCGCAGGGACTACAGGTGGTGCGTAGTTTGGTTGCGGGGCTCTTTGGCTCATGCTCCTCCCTAGAGGTGCCTTTGGCTGCTGCGTGGTTGCCATGGCCATGGCTTGCTGCTGCTGCTGCTGGTATTGCTGGGCGGGAGAGATCGGGGTCGAACTGGCTGGGGAATCAAATCGCGGCGGCGTTCCTCCCGTGGTGTTGGATCGGGTGCGGGACATTGCAGAAGAGCCATTGGGGCTCTCTGAAGGAGTGGGGTGGGCATAGGCAGCCTGGGGGTAGTCGTTCTCGTAGCGAGGGGTCTGGTGCTGGGTGATGATCGGACTTGGGGCCGCGGGGGCAGGCCTGTTTGGCATGGGCGCGGCGGAACCAGCAGGAGGACCTGGAGGCTTGGGCGCTGGCCGGCTCGGCACAAGAGCTGCAACATTGACTGGAGGAGAGTTAACGACGGGGGAGGTCAGGCTGCGCGGAACGGGAGGAGGCGCACGCGGGTTTTCGAAGCTAGACTGGTCGTTCCGTGGGAATCGCGGGCTCTGCGGGGGACTGAGCGGGGGCTGGTTGGAGCCGTAGTTTGCAGTCTGGGGCACAATGTTGGCCTGGTACGCGTATCCCTGAGGCTGCGTGGGGCCCATCTTGTCCCAGATGGCATCTTCTTCGTTCTTCTCGGCATTGTCCTTGTAGAAGTTGACCACGTCCATGACGGCCTGGGGGTGCTGCTTCTGCTCCTCCTGCGAGATGCCATTCTGCTGGAGCATGCGCTGCCACTCCTTGGGGAGGCCCTGATCTGTTAGCACACATATATCAGCAATGAGGGGCTACCCACCGTGTACTCGCCCGTGTGGTTGTCGATGCTGACGTGGGTGACGTGCATGGGGTTCGTGGGCGTCGAGATGGTCGGGCGGCGCGGCGAGCCCAGCATGCTGCTCATGAAGTTGGAAAAGGTGCCCTTCTTCTTTGCGCCGCCCGAGAGGCGCTTCTTGGCTGCATCGCCGCTGCCGTCGCTGTAGCGGTTCGTCTTGCTCGACGTGGTCGAGGGCGGGGTCGTCGTGGTGTCCATCTTGGAGGTGAAGGAGCGCGACTGGCGCAGGTAGCGGTTCTGGGCAGGCTGGTCGGTGTACGAGTGCTGGAGGGCGGGCCGCGGCTGGCTCGAGGCGTTCAGAGCTTCCTCGACGATGCGGTCGAAGGGCTGGCCGACGTGGACGGGTTGCAGGTCATAGGCATGCGGGTTGGGGGGCTCGTAGACGGGCCGCAGGGTGTGCGAGGGCGAGCGGGAGAGGCCTCGCGCTGGCGACTGCGACGAGGATGCTGCAGGTGCTACGCCAAGATTCGGCTGGAAGTAAGAGGCGGCGCCTATGGAGTAAGGTCAGTATCGCAGGCACGGTAGGAACACAGGAACACCACGCACTGGGCGCACGCTTCAGCGTCGTCGGGCCCTTGTTCAAATAGGCTATTGGCGGGCCTCGCTCTTTCGACGGCCCTCTCTTGGTCAGCCTCGTGGGCCGCGTCGATGACTTGTCGTCCATTGCGGGCCTGCAGAGTGTCCTAGTCAACGTCACACCTCGAGCCTGCGCAGCCGAGGGGGGCCAGGCCGGAAGGGGAGAAGAGAGAGGATGGGCGGCGCCGTGGGAAGCTCGCCGTCGCTGGATACGTGGAGAGGGGATGCACGGCAGAAACAGGTACAGACAGAAGTGATCGCAGCAGAAGCACAGATGGATCTGGCCGACTCTCCAGGGCTGGTTTTGCCGTGCTCAAGTCCTAGCTAGCGACTCTACCACCTAATCTCCACCAGGCCAGCTATACCTCCACTAGACTCCGAATACGTCTGTTTCAGGACGTGTTTCCTCTAATTTCTCAACGGCCTGCCGCCGCTGACTGAAGCCCGCCCTCTGCCCGTTGCGACGCAGCCCCCCGACTCATGCGCGCCCGCATTTGACGCCCAAAGAAGGTGTGGCGATATGCAGTAGCTCATGTCACGTCGACGTTTACATAGTACATATCAAGTCGATTTGCTTGTCCATTCTCTTCGCATTCATCTTTGCGCATTTTCCCATCCGTCATCGAGGACTGAGAGACCCCATCGACAGGGCCATTCGCGACTAACCCAACACCATAGCCACGCCGTAAAGTCTATTCTTATACCTGCCATCCCATCGCGCCTTCCCTGGTAGACGCTCTCACTCTTGGTCGACGTGCGGCTCTTCCCGGCGTCGCATCTTTCACATGCTCGGTACCTGCTACCAACACCGATGCCCAAAAACACCACCCATCCTATCGCGTCTCCCGGGCAATACGCGCGATCATTACCTCACCATGGAAGCTTCACTGCAGGGCAGACGCGTTTTGTAAATCGACTGGTAATGCCATGCAAGGCAGCGCCCGAGCTCCGAGACAGCCTCTTACCCCCCACATCGCGCTATCTGTCGCTACGACTCCGGCCGCAGAGCACAGCGTCACGATAGCCTCAACCTTCACCCTCATGAAACACGCCACGCACGTCTCCTCTCCCACATGCAGGTCGCCGTGATACAGCATCCAACCTGCCAGCCCAAAGCACGCGAGACAGCAGTAAGTCATGCGCCAACAAATACTAATCCACCTGGGCAAGAACATGAAATGTCAAGGCAAGGAGCACGGCATCGCTCAACAACTCCGACCAGGCTCGCCTAGACGCTCCAAAACCAACGTTGCACGAACAACTCACTCCCGCTTTACGAGTCTACGAGTAATGGTCATGCAACAAGAGCCAGCATACCCCGAGCGCCGCGGCAACGGCTCATCTCCCGTTCTTCTAACGCACCCGGCCACGGCACTTTCCCCCGTGCACAACAACGCTCCTCTGAGCATCTAGGGGTTTGATCAGCCCGCCACAAAACTGCGCAAGGCTAACACACGCCACGTGAAATGATACGAGTCTGTCGATCTATGTCCGCTCTCTAACGCTCTTCGAGTCTGGATTCATCTGTGAAGGAGCCCGAAACAGCCACATCGTGAGCTGTGACGATCACCGTCAAACATGCAGTTGGTCGTGCTATTTTTGCTTCTTCGACGTCATGGCTTCAACGTTCGGTTGTCGGCACGCTTTTGCATCATCACCACACGTATTTGTAGTCGACGCGGTCTTACGGCGCGTCTGTTCAAGACGCATTGCAGCAACACCGTAAACACAAGCCTTCTACACATTCAACCCGCATCGCGCTCAGGCTTGGCATTCTGCGAAGACTTTGCTTCTTGAATAAGCATCATGATCTTGCATGTCGACAGAAATGAGGCTTGCTCGACTCCTTGCTGTCTTTTCGAAATAGATGGATTCGTGGGGGTTACGGACTTCGCAAGCATGAGGTATAGTAATCAGGTTAGAATCTACACTATACACAAACCTGTCAAGAACATCATCAATAATCAACCTTAGGCATTATTAGACTAGTCGTTCATTTGTATGCCTGGGATGCATGTACAACGCGCATTCCTTATCTCATCAGTTTTCGTGTTTGCCGTGCACTCCTTATCCGTGCCGCCCTCATCGCCCCGGTCAATGCAACTGTGGCACAGCAATCTTGCACTGCTCTCACTCAACGACCCGGTGTAGGCATTGACACTTGGAGCACCACCAAAGCTTGCGCTCACCCCTTCCGCAAACTGCGAACGGGTTGCTTCGTGGAACAGAGCCTGTGGGTGTGTTGACTACTTTGCTCGGCGCAGGCGACGTCGCAGTGGAACGTACTCCGAATCCTAAGAACCGTGAGGGGAATGTGAGGGGTGTACCTGCTGCCGTAGAAGTTCTAGGGCCGCGGGTCGGAGAACGATGTGTGGTCGGCGGCTGAGTGTTGCGGGCATCTTCTTCCATGTCCTCGGTACGATCGCCCTGCTCGAAGCCCTCGATCTTCACGTGGATCTCTTCGCTGTCGTCTTTCATGTCCTCGTCTACATCACCATCCTCATCCTTGATCTCGTAGTCGAAGTCGTCTTCATCACCATCCTCATCCTTGATCTCGTAGTCAAAGTCGTCCTCTTCCTCTCCTCCACCAAATACCGACTTCATAAGATCTTGACGTCTCTGCTCAGCCCACTGGTCAAGCTCGTCACGTATATCCATGAGCCAACGGGGCGCATATTTGCCCTTGAGCTGAAATTCACGTCGTAAGATGACCTTGTAAACGTTTTCGGCTTCGCGTCTCCAGAAATCCGCGTCCTCCCAGTTATCCTCGATGGTGATGAAAAGTATGCAAGACCTGAGGTGGAAGTATGATGGAATCGTTGGGTCGCTGAGGCGGTTAGTATTGCGATTCTCAGATATATGACTAATAACACTTACCACAAGATTTTTCCAATTGCTTCCACACAACCGTCTCTGTCACCGTTGTGAAAGAGCGCTTCTGCATCCTCAAAGGCCCTCAAGGTCCTGATGTAAGGCTGGTTCCTCGGCCAGTGCGCCTGCCAGTCCGGCACTTTCGGGTGTGTCATGCTTGTACTTGTTAGTGGGGTAAACGAGATTTGAAAGTAGAAGGAGTAAGTGTAAGGCAGGAGCCCTGGAATGCAGTAAACACCGTAGCGTCCTTTACTCAAATGCCAAGCATTACAAACCCGACAAAGCTCGAAGAGCGAGACGAAAATGGAAAGAGCAAGAACTTACTCGTCTCACTCTCACTCTCTATCGTCATCGAAGCCTCAAGGCTACTAACTGGAAGTTCTGGGTTGGAGACAAGGCTAAAAAAACAGACTTCTTAAGTACACATCTTTATCACCTATCTTAATTATACCTGTTAATACTACTTCTTCAGAACGCTTTCCAATATTACTTCTCGATCCTACTCATCAATCCTACTCATCGATCCTACTCATCGATACTACTTCTCGATCCTGCTTCTCGATTCTACTTCTCGATCCTACTTCTCGATCCTACTTCTTCAATACTGCTTTAAGATTACATAACTACTTATTGCAAGCAGTCTCATGTTTACGATAACAACGGGCGCTTCGAGGATATATATGCACATTAGCTCCGTCTAAAGAAATAATTGCGAGAAGATCTAATATCTACTAACAGCGGGACTAATTTGAGAAGACGTATTGTTGGCTGTAATTTATCGGGTTTGAGAGAAGATTTGTGTGTAGAGAATTGCATAATTTTCGTTTTTTACGTTAATATGTACGAATTATAATAGCCTCTAATCGTGTAAGAAAGTCTTCAAAGCTAAAAGAAAGTGTCGTGATAATACTTGATCCTGTGTGTTCTATTAAAGATAATAGCCGACTGTTGCTCCCACACCTAATATAGCTCTGCTCTTCGCTGCGGCAATAATGTTAGTAAAGCTTTAGTTCGTAAAAACTGTTTTAACATTCATGAGATATTGCTGTAAGACGGCTTTACTCGCAAGGATGACCTAGACATAAGAACAGCAAGAATTGAGAGATGAGACTTTCCAATACCCCCATCGCGTCATCTGCTTCTGATCGAACAAGACACATCGCACGCAAGATACAAACACACGTATACAGACACAGCAACATCTCATGTTTTTGTGTCAATCAATTGAACTTCGCACCTATCCTACTCTAGCCCCTTTCCCTCTTTCCCTTTTCCTCATTCCGTTCCCCGGACACGACAAAAATCCCGTATCATGAACAGCTGTCGTACAGCCAGCCAAAAAAACAACAACTCCTCTTCTCATCATCAATACGTGCGTGACATCCAAGAAACTCGACGCAGACGTTCTAACGTCTAATATTGGACCAACGACCTGGGATAAGAAAGAACAAAAAACCCAAAACCCCTTTCCAATGCTTGCAAGGGCCCTGTTGCCAACAACCAACTATGCCGCCTGAATCGAGAGGTGAAACTTGGAGAAAAATTTATATGTATACGGTTAAAGGGTATGCGCTGACCAGTGAACTAGGGTTGAGGTCATGAGGCGCTGAAAGAAAGCAAGGCTGTGGTGGTGTTCGGTGTGGGCACGGACAGCTGATCAGCCGCGACAGGCGGCATCATCAGCGGTACCGCGGACAAGGTAAGTCGACTAGGGTAATGGCAGACCACATGATCAAGAATACACGTCTCAATTGCTTCATGCTGGATCTTTGGAGGCGTCGTCCGGTGGTGGCTCCGTCTTTCCCTCCTCCTGATTTTGCAAGAGCCGTGCTTGTTCGTCGGGAATATCGCCCTGTTCGTTCTCCTCTCCAGCCATTGGTTCTTCTGATCGCATGATCGCTTCGTCGACCCCTTCCGAAGGGTTGGGCATTGGCGCTTCGCCTGATGGCTTGGTGTTGGCCTCGTCGGCACTGTGCTTGCCCCCGTGGAACCAGCCACCCTTCTCCCATTCTCCGGGTTGGTAGAGGCAGTCATGGCGAATATCCGTGTCGACGATAGCAGCCATGAGTTTGTTGAGCCGATCGAAAGAGATAGGCTTTAGGATCCATGCATCGAATCCAGCGTCGATGTAGCGTTGGCGGTCGCGCTCGATCAGAGAGGCTGAGACTGCGATGATGGGGACGCGGCCGCAGAGGGCAGCTCGGGCTGAGTAGATGTCGGTGTGTAGCTTTTCGAACGATCTTATCATCTTGGTCGAGGTGAGTCCGTCGACGATTGGCATCTTCAACAATGTCAGTAAACAGGGCAGGTCTTGAAGAATATACTACTAACCTGCATATCCATCAAGACAACATCAATGTCTCGTGAATTGTCGCAGTATGCCGACGAACATTCCTCGCCATTGACGGTGAGGTGGACCTCGTGCCCGAGCTTTTCTAATCGCTTTTTGACAATCCGACTGTTCACCGGGTCGTCCTCTGCAACAAGTACGCGCATGTGATCCGAAGTCAGCTTCTCGGGTTCCGCAGACGGTTGAATTGGTGTGTCGCCCTGTACCTCTCCGAGGACACTCCCAGGCTTGGGCCGAGGATCTACCGGACTATCGCCGCCTTCATCAGGCATCTTCAAGGCCGTGATAGGGGCACCCGAGCCAGGTACGGTAACTTCACCTGCGTGATCGGACTGCATGCTTCTCTGGTGTGGAGGTACAATAGGCTGGCTGCTGATGTATTCGAGGCTCCTAGACCTCATGCGTGCGGCGCCGGGATCGAGACTATTGCGTTTCGTTAAGGTCGGTCTCAGAGAGTGTGCGCTTGGGCTTGCATCGCCTCTGCCGATCATGTGCGGCTCTTGTATCGCGTCGATAAGTCGGTCCACATCACTCCTCTGACTCGACCCGCTCTTGAAGCTGCGTAGACTAGTCTTGCTCGTCAGACTCTCCGCACTAGATCTTCGAATGACCACACCACTCGCCCCACCGCTACCACTCGAGCTACTCTTCCTCTCGCTGTCGGAGGTGTGGCGCGATAGGCTTGGGGCAATGAGAGTCCGCTCGCCTTCATCAGGACCAGGCAGGATGCTCGATAAGGTGCTGTCCGGTTGGGGTGTGATACTACCAGCTGGCGAAGCCTCCGCAGTTGTCACAGCTTCTACCTCGGCGTCTGGAAGGTCGAACGGGAATTGTACGACGAACCTCGTGCCTTTGCCCTCTTCGGATCGAAGCCTCAATTGTCCGTTCATATTCCTGATGATGCGGCCAACGACGGCCAGACCGAGACCCAACGTTGACTTCTCACCTTGCTCGGCGATTTGCTTCTTGTCAGGCACCAGCGCATCTTCCAACATGGATGCAGGCTCAGACTGAACTTGCTCCAAGTCATAGAAGAGCTGATCAAGCTTCTTCTGGCTCATACCTCTACCCGTGTCGGCTACCGCCACCTCAACCTCGACGTGATCTCTGCTGGGCCTTGCTGCAACATAAACCTCCACGGTGACGCTTCCTTGCGTGGTATTCTGTATGGCGTTCGCAGTGATATTGGAGATGGCCTGACGGACTCGCCGTTGATCTCCAATACACAAAGTAGGCAACCCCGGGTGTTCGATAACTTCGTAAGATATGTTCTTCCGTTTGGCGTCGTTCTTGAACATGTCGGTGGCATCCTTTATGGTTTCCCGGAAGTCGAACGACTCGCCCTTAATGAGTGGTCCGCCTTCCTCCGTCTTGGTCAGGTCAAGTAGGTCGTTGATTACGTAGATGAGTGATTTCGACGCCGAGTGCGATCTCGAAAGGTTTTCCCGGGTTTCCGTGTCCAGGGCTCCTTCCAGTGCTATTTCGAGGTAGTTGATAATTGCATTCAGTGGCGTGCGAACTTCGTGCGCCGAGTTTGCCAGCAATAACCGGGTCAGCTGACTACTCTGCAGCGCAGCTTCTTTCTGCCTCCAAACTTCGATGAACTTTCCATATACCAAACATAGCACTGAGGCGGTCTCAATCTCTTCTTCCGTCCATTCGCGGCACTTTCCAACGACGGTCTCGGACCACGTTTTGAAACTCTTTCTTGGCTCCAGGTAACCCTCGGTGCCCTCTTTGATGAACTTTTCGTATGGGTTGCCAGCCCATTTCACCTCCTTCAGTTGTCCCTTCCTGAAGAAAACGATAAAGTCCTCGCCATCTACCGACAAGGGGACGATTAGCATGCCTGCTATGACATGGAAACCGGGCGGGTATCGCAAATCGGGGAAGTCCGAGATGATATCTATAGAAGTCATGACCGATTGGATTTTCCTCATCCTGAGATACTCCAACATGGCAAGTGCCTCTTGCGAGTTTTCTAGAACGCCAAGGATCTTTGTCTCGTCACGGATCGAGAGTAAACCAAAGTCGGCATCAAACAATTTCAAGAGATCATCAGAGGAGGCGATGATGTACCCGGAGGGGTTATGTTGTGTTGGTACAGTATTGATGAGTTTCCTGGCCTGTAGTCTGGACGCATACGATAATCTTTCGATGTTTCTCGATGCTGCATCGCCGACCATGCGACACATCTTTCGAATAGGAAAAGATACGCGCATGCCGCGAGGCCCGTACGAATGGCAGGCAATGAGACCCCACAGCTCATTGAATGCGTTGATGGAGATGGACATTGACGATCTTACGGCCATGTTCGCGAGATATTTGAGATGGATTGGGGACATGGCGCGAAGATACGAGTGCGTGAGATCGAGAGGGCTTTCCAAATCCTCAGCGGTACGGCAAACGAGCCTTGCGGTTGTTAGGTCTCGATCGTAGAGCATGCGTACCTTGTTTAGCTTGTATAGTTCTCGAGCTTGCTTTGGAATATCGGAAGCAGGGAAGTTCAGCCCCTTGTACAGATCCTTTGTCGCTCGCGGGTCAACAAGTTCGGTAACGACACGGCCGTTGAAAGTTTGGTCGAATTGATATATCATGACGCGATGGAAACCAGTTAGTTCCTTGACAACGCCCACAAGAACCTTGAGAAACTTTTCCAATGATGGTGCCGCAGCCAGCTGTTCTTGCACCTGGGACATGATATTGAAGACCTCCATCGCAGCAGCTTCACCCTTCCTTTTCCGCGCGCTGCGCAGGACGCGCAAGGGCTTGCTCTTGATTTCTGTACTTTCGAGTAGTTCCTCC